AGACTTAATAAACACATAAAAGACTTGAGGGACGAAAAGGGTCGTGGATAAAAGTTCATTTACCCAATACCTTCTATAGCTTTTATATAGGCTTGGGATTAGCATTTAATTCTTGTTTATTGATGTAGTAACAAAAATTTTACAGTTGTCACCTAAATAATGAAGTAATGATTAGTGGTGTTTATGGATCGCGAAATCAGTTTATTTGCAATTTCGCTGATCCTAATTACATGTGTTGGTTCAACAAAATTGAAACCCATATCCTAACCCTATTCAACTGGTTAATCTGTGAAATAGGGCCAGCATATAGGATAATATAATCCTCTTGTACTTGTGGGGGAAAAAATAGAATTAGTTTAAAAAAGCAAGGATTAAAACCTTTGTCCAAATTAATAAGAGTATTTAATCCTATAACTCTAATAAAACTATCAACAAAATAGAAAATTAAAGCATGTTAGATATTTATAGTATTGAATATTCCAAAATTTTACTTTCGTTTTCTTCACTTCTTGAAAGCTATTAATTTATTTTCTTACTAAGGATGGCAAATCAGTCCACAACCAAACATGTAAGCTTTAAAAATTGAAAACAAAATAATTAATAGAGTGATGAAATGGATAGAATTTATGAGAAAAGAAGATAAATTTTTGAAAAAAAAAAACGAAGTAATGGAGTAAATGAAATTAGTAGCGATGAATGTAGGAAGTAGAAAAGGTAAATGGGAGTTAGGCTTACATAGATAAGCTTAGAAGTTGTGAGACATAAAATGTACAATGGTTCACCAAATGACTAAATAATTACAGATTGAAGTTCGACTATTAGTCACCCTAACTAACCTTACACATATGCGGGTAGGTTCGGAAAGCCGCGGTTATTAAAAATTGAAAACCGCACCCTAATCTAATTTTTTAAAAATAAGTTTGGGTAATCTAACGGTTCTAGAAATTATGGCTTAGTTACTTTATTTTTCAATTTGGACCAATTTGATTTTTTCGATTATCTGCTTTTTCGGTTCTTTTTCAACCCCCCTAGTAATGATGACTCGCCTTGAGTTCTGATTGCAATCGCTATATGCAAACTCAAATTCATTAAATTATTTACATCCAAACCTAAACCCTAATGAGTTTAAAAGAAAATACAGATACCCAAAGCCTTACAATTCTGGGTACCTGGTGGTACAATATCCGTACAGGCTAACAAGACTTAAAAAAATAAGTTACATTTGCTAACAATACAAAAAAATAAAATAAAAAATCATGACATACGCACACATTTTCAGCATGCATTACATATGAACACATTTTCAGCATACAAAATAAACTTCATAATGGATAAAAGAGTTTGTCATTTTTTTCTTTTAAAAATAGAGGGGCGGGGATAAAGAATAATATTTTCCATGGACTATTGACCACATTTTTTTTTTATTTTCACAAATAATATATACTTGGTTCTCAAATTAACTATTCTAATCCATCACTAAAATAATACAGTGATTGTCATAGCTAAAAATTGCTTTATTTTGCACTGAAACAGGGTTTGAAAGTGCAGCAGTAGCCTGTTGTGCCACAGGACTGTTTGAGATGGGATACTTATGTCATCGTTTGAATCCATTTACGTGTCCGGATGCAAATAAGTACGTGTTCTGGGATTCTTTCCATCCAACAGAGAAAACTAATCGGATCATCTCCGACTACGTGATTAAACATGTAGTAAATGTGTTTTTGTAGGCCTAATTAATTAAATTTTTATCTATTGATTCTATGTTTTCTGATTATGTAAAATTTATATATATTGATTGTTACCACTCACCAGGATGTAATAGGACATTGTTGCACTGCCCAGTATTCTCTTGCAAGTATGTTGAAATTATTGTTTTATCTATTTTTTAATTCTTCAATGCCAAAGAAGTTTTGGTCCTGGATTCAAATTTCTCGACCCCCAACATCTTCCCTGTTTTTTAAGTTCCACCCCTCCACTGTTCGGAAAAAACAAAATTCTTCAATGAATGTTTGGTACAATTTCGATAAGGACTGATATTATAGTTTACTAAGCTCTTTAATTGATATAAAGTTTGCCCTTGGCAGTTGAGTTCTTCAATCAGAAAACTTGCATTGCCCATTATTCTTTTGCAGGTACATTGAAATTATTGGTGCATCTATTTATTAATTCTTCAATGACTGTTTAATACCTATATCTACGGTTCCAATTTCGGTTAATGAATAAATTATAGCATAGTAAGTTCCTGAATTAATATAATAAGCTTGTCATTAGCAGTTGAGTTCTATAGTTAGAAAACTCAATTGTTCAAAAACTAGTTTTATCAAAAACACTCCAAAAACTAGTAGTGTTTTATCAAAAACACTCCAAAAACCTGTTTTATCAAAAACACTCCAAAAACTCCAAAAACAGTACTTTTATCAAAAACTGTTACTTTACAATTTACATTGAGGGCATGTCCTTATTTTCTTTTGTTGTCTTTTTTTTTTTCTAAGAACTATAACTTTGTTATCCAAACTCACAACTGTTTTTCTTTTTTCACAAAAAGTTGCCATATATAAATGTTACTACGTTTTGGTGAGCATTGTCTATCAATATAGAAACAGGGTTCATCGTAGGCAGTACTTGTTAAAGGGTCTCCACCTGTCAGTTTTTCCAAAATTAACTATTAAAATTGATAACAAAATTTAGTCTCCAATGTTTTCAATTTCAACTAAAATTTGGAGAAGTGCAAACGATGAGAGTCACAACTGAATCAATTGCCAAATTATTCCCTACTTAGTCCTTACTCCCCAATTCTCTTTTTTCAAACCCTGGATATGGGAGAGGAATTCCATCTCTAAATCTAATTAAAATCAAGGGTTATTATCATTTTACCCCCTTAACATTTGGTGCTACTATCAATTTCCCCCTTAACGTTATCTTTTAGTCACTTTACCCCCAAGATTAACGGTCAAACTTAACAGAGTTTGTTAATCACTTTATCCCTTAAAAAACATGTTTAACCCTTAAAATTATTATCACTTTATCCCCATAAAATATAGTCTCATTATCAATTTACCCCCTAGAGTTATTTTTTAGACAATTTATCCTACCATTAAACCAACTTAGCAAGTTAAAAAACTTAAAAAATACCCTCCTCTTTGTATAATAAAAATAATAAAAAATTTACAGTGACTCTTCTCCTTTTAGTATCAAGAAAAAAAGTCAAAATATTAATTTCTTTCTTCTTGGCAATCTTATTAATATTAAAAAAAAATAGAAAGATGGAGAGGGGGAGAGGGAGAGAAAGAGTTCAATTCTCTTTTTTTTTTTAATTACAAATAAGAAAGGATTAAATACTTTTATTATTTTAAAATTATTTCACTTTTTTGTTTACCACCAAATTCCAATTCTAATCTCGACAACATTAAAACAATACGATAATGTTAGACTTTTCTTTATTTTCTTTTTTCTTTTGCAAAATCTAATTTTTTTCTCCTTCTTTCCTATCTCTTTTTCTTTTCCTAGTATTAATAAATGTGAAAAAAGAAATTTGAGAAAATCCTTTTATTTTTATATTTTTCGATCTCTTAAAGGGAAAAAAAAGGAAGAATAACCATTCCAACTTTTTTATTTTAAATTATATATAAAAAAAGGGTAAATATATTAAAATTTTTTTGACCATACTAATTAGATTAACGATGAGGTAAAATACCTAAAAAAATAATATTATGAACTAAAGTGATTGTATCACTATAATCTAAACGAATAAAGTGATAATAACAATATAATAATACTATAAAATAAAAGGGTATTTTTGTCCAAAATTTCTTAACATGTTGAGTTGAATTACTTATGGGAGTGAAGTGACTAAAAGATAACGTTATGAGATAAATTGATAGTAGTGATATAGTTTAAGGGGGTAAAATAATAATAACCCTAAAATAAAATAAGGAGAAAGAAGGAGGATGGCATAAATCTAACCTCCAATACAAGTCAAAATAGCCAAAAAAAACGAGTAATATTTCCTTATATTGAAAGCTCTAATAAATGGTAAACGACTATTATCCATTCCAAGTATTGGCTTGAGCTGCAATGATAACTCATGAATTGAAGATAAAACATGCTTTGACTTTTGTAATGCCAAACTTTATAACGAATTGGCAGCATAACAAGATTCTTCTATTCTACACCTTTACACTGCACGATAAAAAGTAAAATAATAATGCTAGGATTTTATAGCGAGTCCCATCATCTTCTTTTTTGCTGTGCTTATCTAGCATCCAAACGACACAAAATAAAAAAAAACCTACAAATATCACGGCTTAGAAATTAACACTTACTTTAAATTTGCATGTTTGTGGCTAATTTTCAAAACCACAACTTGTATGATGTACCCAACCTCGTTAATTACACTTTAATATACATAAAGCGTCAGAGGTGCTACTCTGTTATTTAAAGTTTGTTAAGGGTACGTTTGGTTCTACAGAATTAGAATTGAATTAGAATTGAAATTCTATAGAATTGGAATTCTATGAATTGGAATTCCAAGTCATTTCAATTCTTTCGTTTGGGAAATACATAGAATTGATACGGAATTTATTTGAAATTCCAAATTCTTTGTTTGTATGAGAAAAGAATTCATTAGGAATTAGAATTGTTTTCAACTAATATTTCCTTACATAAAAAACTTCTTTTTTTTTACTATATAATAATTTTTGAACATTTAGCTAATTGTTACTAAAGCTTTAAGGAAAAAACCAATTAGTACCTTTAATAATTTATTTTTTCTTGCATTTTAACTAATTGTTACTAAAGCTTTAAAAGAAAAAAAATTAGTTCCTTTTTTGCAAAAATTAAAAAATTCTTTTTTAAAAAAAAATTAAATTATATTAAATAAAAAATAAATGTATATTCTAACTTAAGAAGTAGTTAATAGTTATCGAGGTAAAACCTTGATACTTTTTTAAAGTTAAGAACTTTAAATTTTAGAAAATCAAAAGCCTACTCTATGATATGAATTGGGAGGAAAGTCATAACTTGTACCTATTATAAATATTTGAGTTTTGTACCTTACAAGAAATTTCAATACATGAATACGCAAACAAAGTGTTTTTAGCCAAAAAAAAAAAAAGAGAAAGAAAAGCATTTCAACTTCCATGATGGCCTTGTCTAATTTGATAGTCAATAAACATTGCTCGTGCTAAAGCATTCCTAAATTGTGTCCACTCGCTAGTTGGTTGTACTGTTCGAATTCGATTCTCGTTAACAGCATTTACACAACCATCATTATTTGGACCATCATCTTCCATTCCATTTTCTTCATCTTCATCTTCCATTTCATCTTCATCATCAACCTCATGTTGTACTCTTCGCATCTCAGCATCAACTTCATCCAAGTAAGGGTCATTTGGTTGTTCTACTCGAATAAGATTATGAAGGATGGCACATGCATTAATTATCATGACATGAGTCTTAACATCAAAAAAAGATGCATCTCTCAAAATGGCCCACCGCTTCTTGAACAAACCAAATGTCCTTTCAATCACATTTCGAGCAATTGAATGTCGAAGGTTGAATAACTCTTTAAAATTTTGAGGCTTCCTCCCACTAGCAGACCACTCGCTAAGATGATATCTAACTCCCCTATATGGAGCTAAGAAACCGGAGCTATTTGCATAACCCGCATCAACAAGAAAGTACTTGCCTGTAATGTTAGACAACAAATTATTACTCATTTATAGTTAAAAGAAAAAAAACACATGATATCTAATTGTCACATACCCTTGGGAACAATTAATGGATCTGATCTAACTAACGCATCCCGTAGAACTCTACTATCTGCTGCAGAACCTTCCCATCCAGGCAATACATATGTAAATCTCATGTCACGGGAGCATACACCTAAAACATTTGTTGCTATCTCATTCTTCCTATTCCTATATCTTCCTTGATCTCTAAGAAGAACATGTACTTTAACATAAGTACCGTCTAACGCTCCAAGACAATCCTGTATTATAAACAAAATATCATAAGTTGATGAATCTTGTAGATATTATCTTCATTAACAAATATCAAAAAATATTGATTACCTGAAACCATTCCCACTTTTCATGCTCGTAACCTTCCATTTCCGTTTCAGGCTGGATAAGATAGTGTCTCCCCAATTTTATGATAGCACATAGAACTATATTAAAGTATCGACTAACTGTCTCACCTGATCTTATGAAATTAAAATTGACAGTGCGATTCTTAAAGTTATGAGCAAGAACATAGAGAAACATTGCAACTGCTTCTTCAACAGTAATATTTCTAGTATCCCTCAACCCACAATGCTCTCTTAAATTTGTACATAAAACAGTAAAACAATGTTTATTGAGTCTAAGTTGCTCTACACAAACTCTATTGTTTCCATAATAAAGACGCCTTAGATATATTTCACGTGCTACTTTAAAGTCCAAGTAAGGCTCCTTTACTATATGTTTCTCATGCCACCAAACTACTAATGTAGCTATTGTTACCATATAATTTGCAACTACCACTTTTCTCTTTTTTGCTTTTTGCTCGTCTCCTTCTTTATCCATGTCAATATCCAAATTCTGCAATTCAAAATCATGACAACAATAAGAAAAGGTAAGTCAAAAGACCAAATCATGCCAAACTAGCTATTAATTCAAAAGACCAAATTACCTATTGGAAAACTCTCAAACAAAAATTACAGCTATACCTATCACTGCAAATATCCCCAATCATGCCATGTTCCATGCAAAATAATGCATAAGAAAAAGAAAAGGATGTCCGTACTTGAATTTTTAATCATATGCTTTAATAAGCTCTACTGCACTATGGTAAACAGAGATTAAAAGTAGGGATCGGATTATATATACCAAGTAGAAGAAAAAGGCTGAAAATTAGGCCCTGCTCGTTGATTATTATTGTGACTTCTGCTTTTTTATCAGAACCTGCTGCTAATCAAAGCTATACTATAGGGACCAGTTACTCTCATTTTACACTATATTATTCTTAGTATCGTGAAAGGAAGATAATAAAATAGCCAACTATGCATACCAATATGGAAAACACTGGATAACCTGTATTAGAAAATATAGAAACGGAAACAGACATGGCAATTGGCAGGCAAACTAAAAATTGTGAAGTTATGCACGACAATTGCTATATCGGATGACTATCTCTGCTTTGAACTTGGTAACATGAAGAAGTCGAACCAAATGAATGAGAAATCAACTATACTAACCAAAAGTAGACAGGGCATATACCATAGATATAGTAGACAAAGTGAATGATTTAAATGATTGAAGTGTGAAAAAGTTTCAATAGCTTTGATTTCTCTTCAAATGGTTACTTTTTTTTTTTACACAATTTCTACTTTCTCTTACCTTGAGTCCCTTTAATGACTCTGCAATCTATTCAACGCACAGAAAGACTTTCTCTGCAATCTATTCATTACGGTGAAAGACATCTAAGCAAGTAGCTTCCTATTTTACATTCCAAAGCTAGTTAAAACTTTGATTTAGGCTACCAGGGTGATCAGATAGCATTCAATTCCTTATGAAATAGAGAACCATCCACTCACATTTACACCTTACTTTTTGTTACTTGCCAATGATTATATACAGAAACATACACCAAAGAACTGCAGGACAACTGTTCTAGTTAGTTGAATGTGCACAATGTAAGGCAAATCTAAGGCAAATATGCACCAGAAAAACATCACAATGTCATGTTCTTAAGAATAGATTCAACAGCCACTGCATTATAGAACTAAAAGTGAGAGGCAAATATGCACCAGAAAAATCCATACACATGCTAAATGAAGAACTTATGCTGACTTATTTGGACGGAACCTTTTTGCAAAAGCAATTTGGAGATGTTGCTAAGATCATCACTTATGTGCACAAAATAGTTTGGAGATGTCCTAAACTTATTCTAGTGACTTAAAGCTTCTACTGGTAAGGATTTTCCAGCACACTGAAACAAAAGAAAGAAACAGAAAAGTCCGGACATAGTTATATATTGGAACCCCAAAATTGGAAACACAGGCTAGCAGTAGCATCCATATTCAGAAAAAGGAATTGAATTGAGAAATATTCAGTATTCAAGGCAGAAAAGTGTTAAACGTAAAAAATCAAACTGTTAATCTCTTAGGTTTCTCAAGCATACTTCACAAATCAATCTTTTTGCAGACTACCCTGTAGGTCATCTGAGAAAATATAATTTCATGCGTGAAAGCCTTGTTCTCTGGCTATAAGTCATGTCACCATTTCTCCCTTCCTTAACATATTATCCACAAAATAGAAAATTAGAACAGCTGTATTTTCATAATCGACAATAATTTTGCAACAACCCCAGATAAGAAAATTAAGAACTGAACCAGTATATAAGAATAAAAGAACAGTTAACATACTGGTAATCAATGGCGGCAGGGCCTTGAGATTTATCAATGAAGACTGATAGAAACTAATTGGAACCCCAAAATTTCAACTTGAGTTGTGCAAAAGGCAGGGAGTGGGGCATGGAGGGGTGGAGGCGGCAGCAAAAGTGCCTCTATCTCAGCGTAATTGGAGGAGGAGGCGGCGGCGGCGACGACGAAGAATGCTCCATCAGAGCTTCTGATATGGCCATCGATAATTCAAAGGGAAGGAGAGAGATTTGTGTTTTTTCCATCCGTTTTGTTGTTGACCCATTTTTGAGTTTTTACCAGAAGAAGACCCACGTGTCGACCCGATTAGGAATTCAGCTGTGGAATTGGAATTAGAATTCTTTTGGTCCGCAAAGAATTAAGATTGTGGAATTGGAACCTCTTGGAATTAGAATTCAATGCTGATTCTATGGAAAATGCAGCGTCCAAACACAAGAATTAGAATTGGGGTTCCAATTCCAATTCTAAACCCCAATTCTATGGGATACCAAACGCACCCTAAGACTAATTGAGATTTATTGCCCCTCAATTTGGGATATGAGTTTCAGGCCCACGCTACCCTCGTATCTTTCTTTCCCTCTCAAGTCACACTTTTATTCTCACGAGAGTGGTGGTCCTGCACTAACAAACATAAATCAAACACAAGAGCAGAAATTGCATTCTCGCAACCATCCACAAGGCAGAGCCATCGAGCCGGCTCTAAATCATTACTCATGCAGTCTGCTGTCATTAACGAGACGCATGATAAAAAAAGCTTCTACCTCCCAGAAAAAAAAAAAAGAAAAAAGAAAGAGAACTACATCAGCATTATGCATTACACTAGAAAAGCAAGATCAAATACATACAAATATCTTAGCAGTTAATACCACAGAAATTAAGTACGACAGAGGCACATAACCATAAAGTAGTTAAAAAGCACCAAAAGCATAAGAGTAGATATCTGGTCTGGTCGCAAATGCAAATGATCTAGTACATTTCCGTGTAACCTGAAGTTGTAATCACCGAAGAGGTTGAAACGGCAAACTAACAATTTATTGAGTAGGGCGAGGTAGTCTTTTTTCTGCTTACAAACCATATATCTTCGTTTCTGAGTCAGCCAGCTTCTTACATTGTCCTAAGCAGAGTAGGGTATCCGTAGAGCCATTCTTTGAGCCAGCCAAGGCCTTTCTGGATCTGGATCGATAAAACTATGCATTATGAACTGTTCAGCTTCTTCTTCCAAGAGATCCCTAGCCCATGTGACACGTTTGGAGGAGCAACTACCTGGCCCAAAACACCTGAAATTCCATCGAACCATCTCAATATGGGGAAAAAAAAGCCAAGTTTCATAAATAGCTGGTCTTGATGTCAATATATATCCCATTCCTACGCTGACCCATAACCCCAAGGCACATTCACATAGTATCAAACAGCTTTGTCTTTTACCCTGTTGCACGAGCAAGGTAGTATGTGATTCAATTATTGCATAAAGGCTCCTGTTAGTTTCAATGACTTAAATTCCAAAAAGAATCATTTCTTTTTCCAATTATCAAAAAATACTTTTTTTTTCTTCGTTTTCTGTGGTTCTCCAAGCCCTTAAACCCTCATACAATTTCCATTTGTGATCTTAAAAACTGAACACAATAAACATTTTCTACAATGCCCCAAATCACTAAAAGGCCTACCTGTACTCGTAAAAGCAAGCACATCTTTCATTTTCTGTCTTGCCCCAGTTATCCCAGCCACAATGCTTAATGCAAGCATCCATATAAGTGTATGCATATACAACCCTCCCAAAAGGTCCCCACGGTCTTCCAAGACATGTGTATGCTGTCTCGCCATTGCCAGTAATGACACACCTGCATTAATCCTCACAAACAGCAAATGAAATCTAATTGTACAACTTTAAAAGAAGAAAAACAGGGTAATATATATTTGTGATTAGCGTGCATACATATAGAGCTGTAGCAGCAACAAAACCCAGATAAGTACTCAAAAGTCCACTTTTACAAAGCTGATGAAAGCCTTTCAAAAATTGGTTTTGCTTTAGTTCTTGTCGATCAGAGGGAGAAGAAAGGCCAGAAGCTTGATCTTTGGTAGTAAATTCCCAAACAATTGACAAGTTTTTACACACTGAAGTTTATAGGCTACAGTAACCATCACTGTATGATAATATAACAGGCAGGATTTGGTCATACACATAATATAGGACAAAACCAATGAATAATCGTAGCTCATCAACACAGGTGGCGAGAAAGAACATTCATACATAGGACACTGCCAGAGCTTTGAATTTTACAGAAATGGAATTAATTTCAAGAATGAAATGAAAACACCAATTATAATGAATAATCAAAACCATTTCAAAATAGTTAAAGTAAAATATATAAAATGAAGGCACACCTTAAGAATATATAGCCAGTTGTCTCTTGGGAAGATTTTCGGCTTTGTGCAGTTATAAATCCAGCTGATTTGCAGTGAATATGACAATGCTCCAAAAGAGCTGTGCTATTACCAAAAATGAAGTCCACGCTTCCTTCAATATAGCAATCCTTCAAATATTGCTTCCCATAATGCAGATACAGTGTGTCCTGCATAGTTTTCATAAAAGAACATGTTGCAAAGCTAAATCACAAATTAACGACTACATTATTTTATGGTCCTGGTGAGGGATACTATTGTCTGTTAACAGCTATGCAGATGATGTTCTCCTTTTTAGCTTCTTGGAAAAATGAGGATTATAGAAATGTAGTACAATGATGAAGCTGCAAACTTACAGTCCCACTGACCTATCTTCTTCCTTTTTTATTAACCCTCATCATAGCTTTCTTCTCTTTGCTATATATAGATTGTATACAACATTGGTCTCAGATCATGAAGATCTGAATAAACAGTTAACCAAGGTGTGCAGGCGTAAGTTTGCAATCAGTATGAGAGTTTGCAACTTCAGAAATCAAACTAAACCAAATAACATAAAACTACAACATCTACCATCTAGTATCCAAAGTTTTCATCCTTCTGTATATAATTTTCATGAAAAACATATCAGCTACTACCAATGCATCAATCTTCATACCTGCCAGCCAAGGAATCTGCAATTGTAAAATGCACAGCGATCGGCAGTCACTCGAAGTGCCACAGCTTGACCAGAGCCCTACAAGGGAAAGCAAGGACTACAGCAAACGTGACCCAGTTACTTGAAAGTACTCTGAAATACCACAACATACAGCTAACTATGTAGGGACTAATAGTGTAAAGTGCAATATGCCCACTATTTATTGTTCATTCAGATCTATCATCCTATTTTTTCTTATCATTTATTCTCATAATCAAATTGGGAAGACAGACATCAAGAAGAAAAAGAACCAGCTAAAAGCTCTTCAATCTGTCACTGCAATTTAAAACTCCAAATCACATCAAAGTTGCAATTTTACCGGTTGCACTGAACACAATGGCATCAATAAGACCAGAGGACAAAAGATCACCGTGCTATAAAGATTGAATTAATTTTTGTTCAACATCTTACAAGTGAAACAATGAGTGACCTAAAAAAATGAAAAGATCAAGGCAGAATTAAATAAAAGATGATTACTTTAGGAGCAGAATTCTCAAAGGTGATATTCTCAGCAATAAAGTCCTCTCCTTCCACAATGGTACTTCCACATCCAAACGTCCCTGTTCCGATAACTCGTGATCCCTAAACAAAAACCATCTCAGCATATTTATATTGAAAAAGGAAAAAGAAAAGGTAAAATTCAATCCAATTTTAAATGGTTGAAGGAAAATAATAGGATTGAGGAATTTTGAAAGGGACCTCATGGTGTGAAATAGAGGAGGCAGTGTTGTGCCAGGTGAGCACAGTAATTTCAGGACGGAAACCGGCGAGAGTAATGAAGTTCTTGGTCTTGGGTATGTACACCGGCTGCTTGTATACACCGGGAGACACCCGAATCACAGTTCGACAAGTATTGCCCAAAGGAACAGCACCAATGGCCTCCTGCACCGTCTTGAAATCACCACTCCCATCTTGTGCCACTGTCAGAACTCTCGACCCCATTTTCCCCCTTTTGACTTCCTCAGTGTTGGAGTGTTACTCCTATCTACGTGATTTGGTTGCAAGAATCCTAGATACTGGTGGCCTTTTGGACCATACTTCTCTCTTGCTTGACTTGTAATCTAGTAACAGATCGACTGCTGAGACAAAACGCAAAGATCAATAATGGAGTAAAATTGTCGGGTTGCGAGGAGGGTAAGAATGGAATCTTGTTCTCGTCATGGATAAATTGGCCATTAGAATACGATAATACGATAAATTTAAGAGTGCGCGTGGATACATGAGTTTGTTTGGGTAGGAGTTTATTTGGATGATTTATTTGAGATAATTACTGTAGTACTTTTTGTGATGTGACGTATGTAACATAAAAAAAATGATTGAGAATATAAAACTGTGATTGAAATTTGTAAAGTAAATATTATTTGCAATATTTACTAAACCACTTGTTTTATGCGATAAAAAAGTTGGTTGAAAAATTACAATGGTGATTGAAAAAATGTGTTTGTGTGCAAGCGCAAATACTTTATTTCAAATAATCATATACCTAATAAGTTAAGAGGTAATTGCCCTTTTTTTTTAATTAAAGGGTAAGCTACAGAGTAGGTGCAAGTTTAAGAGCAATTTCTACAATTAACCCTGTTTTTGTATTACATTGCGCCTTACAGAAATAGAGTTCTCAAGTTAGAGGGAATGGCAGGATGCAATCTTATTATAGTCATGGGTAAATTGGTAGTTAGAATCTAAAAATTGACAATATTTATTTTCCATTAGATTAACCTTAACTCAAGAAGACAAAATGTTAGCTTTTCTACTTAAGGGGCAAACTGCAACTACACTTAAAACCCTTTTTTCGGGGTGCATAATGAACACTAATTAACAAAATTGATACACTTCATCTTCCATCTTGTCTCCCACTCAATTTAGATTATATACATACTCACAAAATACTAAAGCCATCTTAAAAAAAAAAAAAAACAGAGAAAGAGAGAGACATTTGTAGATCGTTTATTCACAAGTTCAAAACAGAGTTGGGACTTTATGATTAGATACAAAGAAGAAAGTGTTGCAAAATGAAAGATGATATCAGAAAAGCATTGATCAAAGTTGTAAAAAGCACAAAAACATTAATATAGGCGTATCAATATATATTGCTCTAGCTTAATTTGTCACGTACATCATTAATTTGTTTGTCAAAACATTGGAGAAAATAATTAAATAATGCTTAATTAAGGAACACTCTGTAGCCCTCATTATTAATTTATCATTAGATGATGAAATAAGTATTTTGGATCCTTAGATTATAACAATTTCAAATATTTTAAAATATAAACTAATATCATCCTTGAGAATGAGGGACACACATCGACGAAATGGTTATGATGAAATAAGGGTCTTAGATTCTATTGATTAGAACAATTTCAAATATGGGTCTTAGATCCTTAGATTATTACAATTTCAAATATTTTAGAATATAAACTAATATCATCTTTGACAATTGAAGATGTACATTGAGGGAATGGTTCCTAAAAGTACGTAGAATTTTCTCTTAATTTAATTGGTTCACTATTATCTTTTAAACGAAATTAAAAGAAAATAAAACCTGCCTAGCCTAATCGCACATGCACCAAATTGTTGAAGTCAACATTGCAAAACTATTAGAGGTCCAAAATCATGATTTTATATTATTATATTTTTGGGACAGGTCACAAATCTGAGGTCCATTTCATTTCATGCATTTAAACTCAAACTAGTCCTTATAGTGCAGGGAGACCCGTGCAAATGGTGCTATGACTTAAGACTTAGAAAGTACACTTGTATTTTTTTTTTTTGGCTCTTTGTTGTAAAATGATGCTGTTATAAAAGTTAAAGTGGGAAGTTTTGGATTTTTATGAATTTCAGTGCATATGAAAAGAGGTTTTACTATAACTTTGATCTTTAAATCCCTATGAAATTGTTCACCGTCACTAATCAATTCACAAAGCATGAACTTCAAATGCCAATAAATATTTTCAGCCATCCGAAAACAAATTCTTTCCCTGTGAAATTTTGAGATAGAAAAGAAATCATTTTTATATTTTTGAAATGACTAACAGAGAGGTACATAGAGCAGAGAGGCTGGCATTTTAGCCTAGGAAGAATTCCTTCAAATCAGGAATTTTACGAAAAATAGAAAACTAACTAGATGAGACTTAATTAACAACCAACCAAATCTCTTTATCAAAAAACAATAACTAAATAAAGAATACTAATATAGATGATAATTCCACAGTCCCCCTCAAGCTGGGTTGTACAAATTGTACATGCCCAGCTTGCAACTTAACTCCTCAAATCTAGTTCTTGGAGGTGCTTTGGTGAGGATATCAGCAGTTTGATGTTGAGTAGGGATGTAGACAATTTGAATAGTCCCATTTTCGATCTTCTCCAGGATGAAATGATGATCAATCTCAACATGCTTTGTCTTATCATTGTGAACAGGATTTTTTGCAAGGTTGATAGCTGCCTAGTTATCACAGAATAACCTAATCGGTTGTTTGTCCATCACCCTCAGTTCACTAAGTAATCTTTGAACCCAGATACCTTCACAAAAATCCCAATGCTAATTATCTAAACTCAGATTCTGCACTACTTCGTGAAACAACTGATTATTTCTTACTTCTCCATGTAACAAGATTTCCCTAGACATATGAACAATAACCAGAAGTTGAGCGTTTATCCAGTAGATTCCCTGCATGATCAGCAAGAGTGTAGATATCAATCTCCCTTTTGTTACTCTTCCCGAATAATAATCCCTTTCCAAGTGTTGACTTAAGATGTCTTAGTATCCTATTCATAGCCTTCATATGCTCTTCTGTGGGATTATTCATGAATTGACTCACTAAACTGACAGCAAATCCAATGTCTGGACGCATGTGCGAGAGATAAATTAACTTACCAACAAGTCGTTGGTATCTCCCCCTATCTACGGGAATGCTTCTTGATTCTGCACTTATCTTTTTGCTTAAATCCATGGGTATATCTGCTGGTTTACAGCCAAGCATCCTTGTTTCCTTCAACAAATCCAATATATATTTTCGTTGAGTCACTGCAATACCTTTTCTTGACCTTGCTACTTCTATACCAAGAAAGTACTTTAGATTACCAAGCTCCTTAATCTCAAATTCCCTTACTAGATGTTGTTTTAAGACTTGTAATTCTTCCTTGAAATCACCAATAAGAATAATATCATCAACGTTGTGAGGACTCATGTTTTTATTCTTAAAATAGTTATTTTTATAATTATTTACCCTAGATTTAGTTAATTATATTTTAGTTGCGTGAATTGCCCTTAAATTTCGCTTTATCGCGCGCGAGTCGGAAGTTTGCGTATTTCGCATCGGAACAACTAAGTGGAGATTTGAGAAATTAATACTAGACTCGTAAGAGTGAGTAATTACAGTGTTAAAGGAATTACATTGGAGGATTAGTGCATGAGTGTACCAAACAAGAGAGGAATCGATAATGTACGACACTATTTCGACAACTATTCAAAGTTGATTTTTTGTACCCAACTTAAAGCAACTTTTCTCCAATCTTCCAACACAAGCCAAACACACAAAACCCTCCTCTCTCTCTCTCTCCATAGTTGGCCGAACCTCAAGGAGGAAGAAGGGAAAGAAAACTCCTCACTTCTAGCTTTCATTTTGCTTGCAATTCATCATCCAACTTTCTAGCTTCTTGGAGATTCATCCTAGCTTGGAGTAAGAAACAATCTTGTGGAATTTCTTGGAGGAAATTTCAGTGGAAAATTTGGTTTTCTTCAAGGGTTTTAAGGGTAACCACTCCACCTCTTTTATCTTTCAAATTACAAGAAGTTTAACGGTTAATCTTCATGGGTTTACAACCCTAAGCAAGAAAATAGGTTAGAGGACTTGAGGAAACCATTTATTTCGCTTTAAATCATAGGCTAGCGGACTTGATGAGACCTCTAGGTAGCTGACTTGAGGCTTGATTGTTTGGTTGTGGTTGTTTATGTGATATATAGCTTGATTATGGTTAGAAAGTGGAGAGAAATCGAAGGATAAATGAGAATACAAGCTGGCCGAAATTTCTGGTCATGTTGTTCTATTTTAGTTTCGAAATTTTGATGCTTGGTTGACTGTGAAATTGATGAATATATGTTGTATATTGTGTGTACAAAGTGCCTTTCAAAAATCGTATTGAATGGTTGTGCAAAACTTGAGTTTTTGGTAGAGGTTCGAATCTGGAAAACGTATAACAGTGCACTCGGACAGTGCTTCTTTGTCTGAATGTAACTCTTTGTACAAAAGCCAAAATTGAGTGCCGTTTGTGGCATTCAAAACTAGACATTTATATCTTTCCAATGGTATAAAAATCCCCTACTGGTTCATTTTGAGTGAACCGTAGTGAGTCGGCAAATTTGGCTGTTCTGTTTCGACTGTTTATGCGAATGAAACTGGGAAGCTGCATCTTGTGGCTCGATTTGGTCCCATTTGTGAAACGATTTTCAAAATGATGTCTTCTGATAAATTGTAGCATTTTGAACCTAGTTTCCAACGCCATAAACCATTCTCAATTTGAAGTTGTACAGAGCTAGATATGGTTTGATTTCGAAAATGCAACAAAGCTGGAAATTGGAAGATTTTCCCTTCCTTGCTGACCGAATGGTCAAATCTGTTTTGGGAGGCTATATTTCAAAAATTTTAGTGTCATTTAATCATCAATTGCTTATTAAATGTTTCTAAAACTTTGGTTTCAAAATTGGAGTGAATTGGGGCTGATTTCATTGGACAAAACGTTTGAAAAAGAAAGAGAAAATAGGATGGCAGATTTGCTTTGAAAATTTCATCAACTTTGGTCATTTTGTTAACTGTCTTCCCATGCAAGTTTGTGCCTAAATTTTTATAGAGAGGTAGTCCATATGGAAGTTCAAGTGTACCAAATTTGGTGTAATTTCAATACCATTTCGATGCCCAAATGATGCCCCAAACATTGCTTCTCGAATCTGGAAAT